AGTTTTTGCTATTTTGGAGTTGTACACTATGGAAGTATTACTACATGGTTTTTGAGCAAATTACAGTGAAGGCTTACAACTGCTCTGGCTGGTTCACATCTCCTTGACTTTTCAGTTTAAAATCAGTCAGTCAATGCTACTCAACCTGCTTTTGAAGTGGCAGTTAGTAACACCTGTCTCTCCCCTGCTAAAAAGCTATGGATTTTGTTAGTTTTTTAAAGCTGTTTTGAGTTGATGGAGCGCTTTAGTGCGTTGAGGTCCATTATGGGGTCAGAATAAATCAGCAGACATAAGATCTTCAGAAAATAACACATTTATTAAATGTAATAAAACAGCAGAAAAAACTGAACAAAAGAAAAGACACCTCCTTGTATACACTAATCAATCTCCCCACATTAACATCCCATGACCACATGTGTTTTCACTCAATCATGTCCATGGCCTAGGTCCAGTTCTTAAGCAGTCTCCCCAAGGAAACATAATAGGACACAAAAACAATAGAACATAACCGGAGTTAAAGTCTTACAAAACCAAATGGATTCTTAGGTTACAACAGGTTATATAAATATTGTGTGACACAACATAATTTTTAGAAATGGCAAAAATTAAAGGAGAAACAGATTTTTTTCAATCTTGTGGCATTAAAATAATTAGTTGGATGAATAGTGTTTTCTTTTATCCAAAAACATTCACATCCCAAATCAGAATTCTTAAACTAAATTTGACAAAAAAATTTGAGATTGACCTATAGCTGATATTATTAAAGTATATAACAAATGGTTGTTGATGTACGTATGTTGAAAGCATGAATCACATGGGTGTCAGCTACAGAGCGCAGAACAACCGCTAAATGCAACATTTTGCTATGCTGATTATTTTCCTTTACCAGAGTTTCTTCCATAGCCTGTAGTTATTCTGATTCCCTGCCAAGATGCTAATGCATGTTGCATCCGGACCCTCACTGCAGATGGAGGGCCCATAATTAGCTGCATTTCCCTTCATCAGTGCAAAAGGAGGGTAAAAGTGTTATTGAGACCAAGAAATAGTCTCTGACTGAGGGGTGGGTTTCAGTTGTTGCACAGTTTGATGGGAAAGCTCTTGACGTCCAGCAGGATCCCGCAGGCGCAGGTCATCGTGTTTCTATACTGTTAAATGGAGCTGTGGCCCCAGCATGGCACTGCTGTCAGACCTCACAGCCTCTGCCGACAACTTACGGGGCTTGTAAAGAGGCCAGGGCTGATGGGTTTTTAGTCTCCTTGGGCGGCCAGCTGGAAGAAAATTGGAATGATCCTGTGGTGTGTGTGTTGGTGTGTGTTATGGGGCAGCAAGACATACTTCCAGAAATAAGGACATGTGTGTGTATATATACATATACCTCCTTCTGGTTTGGTTGGGAATCCAAACTAACACAATTGTCCATGTCGCTGTTCTAGTGACTCCAAATGGTTGGTCAGAGCACTTGAAGGGGCAGAATAGTATGCATTGTACCTTTTATACACCTAGAAGCTGTGTGTGTGGTTAGTTGCTACAGGTAGTGGACAAAGTTACACCAAAATGTTTGATTACACATAAAAACACTGCACAAATAATTGTGAGACAATTTTACAACTTTAGAAAGGCATTACAGCACCAATCTTTTTACCCTTTAGCTTGTGGTTATAATGGTATGTTACAAAGTGATTTACCAGGAATGTGTGCCTGCACATGTTTGACCAAGAAAGTGTGTTGCAAAATGAGGCTGTATTGTGCTGTAGCAGAGGTTCGGTATGGTTCAATCTTTTCCCCAGACAACTCTGTGTTTTCTTGCCACAGCTTTCTGCCTGTCACATTTGATAAAGCCTTCCACTATCAAGGAAAGGAAATGGGCTTGAGCTTAACAGTGGAGTTAGCAGTGATGAGAACAACAATAAAAGGGAATTTGCCATCCAGGAAAACACTGTGGAAAAAAGTGCAGTTTTTCCAACACACAACATAAATGAAAATGAAATTAATTAAATAATTCATCATTTCCATAAATTTGTCCTTAAATATCTTGACTTTGGTAAGCTCTGGATAACCATTATATCACAAGATGTGATCCTCTGTCTGCCAGTGGCTCTGTACATACTCATGAGCAGTATATCATGCATGTTTGATTCAAACCTCTTACACTAACAAAGCCAGATTTCTATTTTCAAAACACTGCCAAAATGTAAAAGACAGCAGAAAAAAATCCCACTGAAAAATAGAGCTGCTTGAAAACCAGCAATCTGAGAGAATAAAGAGATAAGAAAGAGGTTTAGAGAGACTGTGGAATCTAATTATTAGGTATGTGTGATCGTAGAGGAACAATATATAATCTAATGTGTGAATGAGATGTGATGTACTCATGAGGGTGCATCCTTGTATCTTGCCAAATGTTCCGAATGTTATTCATGCTAGGAGGAACTCTAGCTTCCTCTCAGCATGAGTCTCTTTTTCAAAGTCTCACATCCACAGGCCTTGTGTTTACCAGCATGGAAATGCTTCTGATGATCAAGCTAATTTAAAAGTGTGCTCTTAAAGTCAAGATACTTTATAATATTTTTATTAGAGAAGTGCCTTTTAAGTAAAAATCCAGGACAAGGACTTCTATCACAGTTCACAGTGGTGATTCATCCCAGTGCATGTTTGTCAGCAGTGATTTCTGTTTAATGAAAAGCACCAGCACTGATTTGTTTAAAATAAACAGAAAGATATGCATGACAGCATGAGCAGGGACAGCAACCATAGCTGGATAAATGATAGTAGAAAAACATGAACACAGCATCAGAAATGTAATACTTTACATTCTGAAGGGACATTTTGAAAAGCAGAATGTGGTTTAGCCCTTCTTGTTTTCTTTGGAGACAGAAAACTAAAATCTAGGAAAAGGGGAGGCATCTATATATCTATATATCTATGGCATATAATGGCCAATCCATCCTTACTCTTCTTCAGAGGGGGGGGGGGACATGAGGGCAGGTTAAAACACTTGTGATAGCAGTAATGGATGTAATATTTATGTATACTGGCATGCAAAAGAGTGAATATTAAAAAAAAAGTTTGTTAATAGATTAACATGTTATGAAGATATTGGCTAACATAGAGAAAGTGTTTTGTTTTGTTCTCATTTATCACAGCTTTACCAAACTTGTTGAACTATTGTATACATTACAGAGGTGTAATTACAGAGTAAAGCAGTAGCGGGCCTTTATGTGCATAAAATTATCATATAGTATGAAAAGAACTCAGATAGGGAGTGGAAAGGTTTGACAAAATAAAGACACAGTTACTGGCATCCCCTCAGCCTGCAGCTGCTTCTGTATCAGCAGAAGGTGGGACTCTATTGGAGGAGCCTTGTTGATTTTCCCTGTTGATTCCTACTCAAGATCAATATCTTCTCAGGTCCCCTTCAGTCGTCTTACTTTCCAGGGTTAATCGACGACAATGGAAAGCTCCAGGGGTTTGTGGAGACCCTGCCTTCTAATCCTCTCACTTTGTGCAAGATAAATTGAGGGCTGTTGAAAAGATCTTAACTTAATTTGGTGTAGAATCTCTAGATTATCATGGCCTGTGAACACGCCAGCATGAACTCACCACATAGCAACTCAACCCAGCAGAACTGTACAAGGTGACATTTCAAAGCTTAAATTATTTCGTATTCAAATGATTCCTACTGTAATTTACATGTCAGTACTTAATATGATGCTTTGAGGGTTTCGTCTGCTGTCAAAGTCAAGGTTGTGATGTTAGGAGTCACTTTTTAACAGACACTGTTTAATAATTCACTCAAAATTATAATAAATGTGGCAGTGTTTGTAATATACATAACTTGTTCTAATTGTATGTGTAATCCTGTTGCCTGCCTGGGGCATTTTATTTAATGTCATCATATTGCATGTGCAGCAGTCACTGAAAACTTGTATACATACTGCATGGATGGGTGTTGATGTTGGGTGGTGACCTTAAATTGCATATTATGGCATAATCATTGATTTGTTTGATCTTTCAGGAAGCCTGAGGAGATTCTAAGAAGAACAGAAGTTGCAAGTAATAAAGATCAAACAGAGGCCTGCTAATTGAATTTCAATAGGAGTTATTCTTAGACCAATGGTTCCTTGACCAATATGAGATCAAAGTTAAAATATGTGGTTGAAAAGTTCAAAATGATCAATCAACAAAAGGGTAATTCATGTTGTCCCTTTATTTCTGATCTTGATTTCACTGCAACTGAGCTCACACTGGGCCTCTCTCGAGTGTGTCTGGAGAGAGCACTGCGATGCCAATGTCCTGAAGAGGCTGAGGAGAAAACAAACAAAATCTGGACGCCTGAGGTTTGGGATGAGGCCAGATTTGACAAAGCAGTCAGTCATCACTCTCCCAACAATCCTGAAAACAATGAACACGCCACAGTGGGCCAACCATCTGTTTGGGAGGAGGAATGTTGTTTGGCTCTCAATATGGTTAGTGAGACATAATATGAGCTGCTGTTGCTAAATTCAAATGTATTTTGTAAATTCAAATGCTTTTTGGTACTCATTTAGAACTGTTTTGTTGACACAATCTCAGAATATGGTCCCCTCTAATGTAGCTTCTCTTCAGCTCATTAAAATAGCACAAAAAGATCCTCATGAGCTAGTATTATGTACAATAAGTCCATTTCATTGTGTTTATACTTTTTCTTGTATTGGGGAAACTAATTAATATTATATTTTTTTATCACTGATTATTCTATTGATTACTTTTGTGATAATAAAGTGTCTGAAAACAGTAAGAAAAAAAACTAAATTTCTCTCTTTTTTAAAATTTTATAATAACCCAAGCGAATTCCTTTGATTTGCAACCAAATGTTCAAAACCTGAATTCATAATGTTTCTAAATCAATGTTGTATGTCTATAAAAGAGAAAAGCAGGAAATCAGTCAATCATCATCAAGACTTAAGATGCTGATGTCCATGTTTTCTGTCATACTCGAAAATACCACACAATATCAAAAGATCTACGAAATAAGAACTTTTATTCATAATATATTCATACTTGTACACAAGTAAAATAAAATGCATATCTATGGTTCCATTGCAATCTCCATAAACAAATTGACAGCATTCTTTTGGTAAATGCTATCCATATACCCTTTCTGTCATGAAAATAGAACTAAAATAAGGGGAGGTAAAACATTTGTTTTTATAAACATAAAAAAAACATAACATTACCCAACAAATGCATCACTTTGAATAAATAATGGGGGGAGATCCTTTATCTTCATTTAAACGGACCTAACATTCTTTGTGTGCACTCTGTCTCTGATTTCCTGTATTTGTTTTTTTGTTTTTAGTTTTTTTAATTCTTCCAGTGGTCTGTCTAAGCAGTAAAAGCTTTTGAGAGGGAAAAATGGAGGAGTCTCCGAAGTGTAGCTTAGACACAGTACAGTTAAGTACATAGAGAACAAACAATTTTGGGCACCAATTCATTATATACATTAAATCTGTAGTGTTCTGTAAAGGCATCCATTTTGTTAAATGTACTCTAACATCCTTATCATTGTTTGTCCTCGCCCGTGTTGGGTCAACGTGACTTCTTGCTTTTCAGTCACTGTCTGTTGTAGATGTCACTGCATCTTCTGTTATCATTGTCATGAGCATCAACAATCTTGAGTCCTGTGTTCAGAGTGAGATCAGGAGTCCTAAGACATGACTAAAGATATCCAGATCATGGGAATGAAGAGAAAGCGCAGCACTTGCAAAGTAGAACCCTGGCCTTTGATACACTGGGTGTCTGATTTGGGCTTTTTGAAACACTTCTTTTTCTTTTTGTTTGACGCTGTAGATGATTCCAGATTGTCTATAAGTTCAGGGTTTAGGTTTTCCAGAGACTTGTCCAAGGTGTTGGACAATGTTCCCAGTGGTCCATCATTCTGCTTGTTCTGGGTCTCGTTTTTTGTTCGTTCCGGCTCCTTATATTTAGTCTTAGACATGTTTTCCTTTTCCTTAAGGGGGTTGTTAGTGATTTGGCGGCTCTTGCCAGACAGGATGGAGGACTTGTCATTATCTCCAAGGCAACACCTTGGAATGGTGTCCCCAAGAGGATTTTCAGTTGAAGGGAATTTTCCAGACTGTGCCTTGGAGCTGAAGAGATTGGTCTGGATTTGAGGCGTTTCCACACAACCCTCCAAGTCTTCACTTTTCAGGCGTTTCAGGTCTTTTCCTGCCAGGAACTCAGGAACATTGCACTCCAACTCAGAGCTGGAACCTTTGAAACGTCTGAACCAGTCCCACAAGGTTCTCGCTCGGCAGTCACAGATCCACTGGTTCCCATTTAAACGCAAGTACTGGAGAGACAACAGAGGGTCCATGGTCTCTCCTGTCAACACAGTAAGATTGTTGAAGAACAAGAACAGGGATTTCAGCTTGCCAAGATCACTAAAAGCTCTTGGTTGGACATAGATAACCCGATTCTGGTGTAGCAGCAGCCGGTCCAGATTGATTAAGCCTCGAAACATGTTATCTGTTACTATCTTGATTTTGTTATTGTGCAGGTAGAGATAGGTGAGGTTGGCAAGGTCCAGAAAAGTGTCATCATGCAGGGTTAGAATGTAATTGTCCTGCAAGTAAAGGTACTGTAGGGAGAACATTCCTCGGAAAACGCCAACAGGGAGCTCTGACAGGCCACACCTGTGCAGATGGAGGGTGTGCAACTTGGTTAAGCCCCGGAAGGCTGTAGGGCTGATGGTGCGGAGGTTGCTGTTGTCTCCAATGTCCAGTTCCTCCAGTTTTTCCAAGCCGTAGAAGGCTCCAGCCTCAATGTAGCTGATGTTGTTGGAGTAGAGCCAGAGAACAGTGAGATTGTGGCAAGAACTGAAGCTGGTGGATCTCACCACCATTAGCTTGTTGCTCTGGAGGAATATCCGTTGGCTACGCACAGGGATCTCAGTAGGGATGGAAAACAGTCCTTGTTGTTGGCAGGCCACAGTGGGCCGGGGCTCACTGTAGCACACACACTTGGCAGGGCAGCTGTCAGTTTGAGGCACAAGGTTCAGCCACATCACTAGAAACAGGAGTCGCCCCCCTATGGAGAGAAAAATAAAATAAAATAATTAATCAGTGGCTTAGTAAATAATATATATCAATAATAAAAGTCACAGTTCTAAGAGTCATAGAAATAGATGAATTCAGGTCTGAATGTAATATGTATAAACCCTTGAATCAACATAACTGAAGAATCAGTCTGAGCATGCGGGTAACTCAAAGTGTAGATAAAATAGATGTGTAGTTTTTTTTTTATATTCATATGCTTGAAAATACATTTTCAACAACATTAAGGATTGAAGTGTATGAGCAATATTCAATATGCACAATGACACTGCACAGCCATCAAACAGCATAACCAACCAAATCCAAAACATTTTCTTGCATTAAGTGTAACATTCAGCACATTACTACAGAATAGGGAATCCTCTTCGTAACAGTGATTCAGCATGTACTTTAACAGTGATGTTATTTGGATCTGGGGACACATCTCCTCCCTGCTGCCTCTGCTAACATGAAGACCTAACCAGCTGAACAGAGTCCTGTGAAGGCAGACTCGTTTAAAATTGGGTGGGTAGCTTTTATGTGGAATTAGCTCTCACTAATAGGGCGGACATAACTAATGGCGTTTCAGCGATCCTGAGGTTGACATTTAGCCTGACGCTGGGAGATAAGCTTTCATGCCAGGCTAAGAGATTGATGCCTGGGGCCAAGGTGGAAAGAGGGCTACAAGGGCCCTGCTAGAGTTTCTTCAGCCATGACTGAAGCATTTTTTCTAAGTGCAGCATGAAAATGACATACTGTATACAAGTGGTGTTGTACCACTAAGAGCTAGGCTTGTAAATATTCTTGTATATGTTTGCCCTGAAGGCATCCATGTTTAAAATAAGGCATATTCCGCATTTGCTTGCATTAATTATTTCTGCTTGTGCTCTGCCAGATCAGCTTGCTACACAGTACCATGATAAGGGAAATTACCATCACTTCTGACATTAAACGTAAGTACAGCCTAGGTAAAAACTAAGTGCTTCTATTGGTGCTCACTCAGTCCTTCATGCAGAGATGGTGGTGTCAAAGTGTCACTGTCATGTCTAGTATCACCATATAATGACAGGTACTCCTCCAAATCTCTGAATCCTCCTCAGCTCCTGTCCTTACTGAAGATTTCCAATCTCCCATGCACATGTGAGGAATCCCAGCCTTGCAGGCATGACAGGTAGTGAGGCTCTGGAAAAATGTGTGAGCCTTATTCAGCCCTCCCTCCATTCCCACTCTCCCTCTTCTCATTCCCCTGCAATGTGTTGTGGTGCAGCTCATCTCTGGACCTTGTTAAACGGAGCTCTGGTGTGGCCTGACAGCAGCCCTCTGCTGCACTTTCCTTCCAATCTCCCTGCTCAGCCGTCAGACTGCCACCGGAAAGCTGTCAAGACTTTCCACTCTTTCTGCATCACAGCACTTTTCCCTCAGCACTGCCTAACAATAGCAATATTTTATCGCACAGCACGCTTCGTGTATCTCCTCTGCCGTCTTCATTTTTTCCCCCTGTGCTGTCTATTCATTAACAGACTATTTCCACCCACGCATTGCATGTCAAAGCCCGGTTTCCTCAGCTCTCGGCATAATATGTCTTGTCTTTGTTAGCATCTGTTGAATGACAGCATAAGCCCCACAATGTCATCAATTCCATCCCAATTATTTTTTGCTCACTAACAGCATCCTCACAACTGCACCACACTGATTGCATTACCATATGACACAAATATAAATCGGCATTTCGCAATAACCTCTGCATGACTTCAGAGTTTGACCTCTCACCTTCCACTCCAGAGACTTGTATGCTGTGGTCACACCACTGTATAGATCGGTCAACTATGCTGGTCTTTCCCTTTTTATCTTCATCTCTACTTTGTTGTCTTTGCTTGAAATCCAAATCGTAGCAAAGATTACACAAAAATGAGCTAATGTTGAGCTGTTTGTCCTCACAGCTGTTATTGACACAAACTCTAATATCTTAAAATACAGCAGCAAGGTTTTGGGTGAAAAAAAAAACCCATCCCTTATCGTCTTTTGCCAGCTTTAGTTTCAACACTTAATCTTCCCCTATCTGCTGTGTCAAAACAAGGCCCCGAGCACTGCCTTCCTGGTTCAGACCCTGCTAGTGGCCTCTCTTCTGAGAGCTATATTATTGTACAGTAGCAATCATCACTCTGTTTAAGAGCAGACAAGCCTCTTTGTTTCCTCCTGACTGACACGGTTGCCCCTTCAGCTCTGAGTAGAGTACATTATTTCACCAACTCCCTCTCCTCCAAGACAAGCACTTACAATAGGAGCCTGACAATATATGGCAGGTTAACGAATTGCAGGCGACCAATATTCCTTGGTGATACAGCTTCCTTGGTTGACTAATTAAATTGTCTGTCAAAACAAATTCTCCAAACTCATGTGATGTTACTGAGGACATTCTCGTTAAGGTATTAAATCGGGTTGATATTGGTTTTCTACCAAAAATTGGTTATTGGTCTCCGTGTCTCTTGCTTAGATTGTGATATGATATAGTTTTATTCAGCCAGCTTCAGGCATGACAATGTGAAAGACTTGAAACCTGCTTTGTCCTTCCTTGACAGCTAACCTTAAATATTTTTTTAAGGTAAGATTTCAGGAGAGGTTTGTCCCATGCTCAAAGAGAAAAAATAAATACTGGGAGAATCGACAATGTCACTTGAGTGATATACATACGTAATACCAGCTAAGTGCAACTTTAAGTAAAAAAAATGCCGGTATCAGCTCTGTGGCAGCAGCTAGAGGACACTACATTCAGTAGAAAAACAGAGAAATGCCCACAGGAGTGGTATGAGTGGGCACAGACAGCTTTGTTTACTTATTGTATGAGAGCATCACTTAGCCAGACTCCTCGCTCATTTGCATGTGTCCCTGGCATGTTTGGAGCTCTAAACTAACTCTCAGCGCTCCTTTGTCTTACTATGAAAATACAACATGCATTTGAACCCTTTCTCGTGCTCTGAAACCCGCAATGAACACAGAGGGCATGTCGGGACAGCGTATTCAGAGGGACTCCGATTCATCACGGTGGCTTTACTTTGAAGGGCTGGGGATTGGGCAGGGACGGCTAACATGACAGTCTTATCCCCTTGGCCCGGAGTGGAAGTGATGTCTCTGTCAGAGATGAATCACAGCAGCTCTCCGGAGGGACCTCCTGGCCTCTTTCTGAAATCATACATTATTGTGTTGCTCAGAGGCGGGCTTGCATTTAATATAGTCATGATCCTTCTCTCTACGTCATGTATCTTGTGTGAATCCATCCATGCATGCATAAATTGTTTTTATATCATGCTGAAAGGAATAACTTAGAGAAACTGTATAGGATATGACAGTTGTATGAGCCAAGGCAGCTATAAATGACTTTGTGAGCTGAGTGTAATAAAGGATAATAACTCGGTGCAGTTTCACAAACTCACAAACACTCACAGTTCTTATGAGGAGTTAACACAAATATATGAACATTATATTCCTCCACTAACAAAAGATTTTTTCTACAGAAAGGCCTACTTTTTATGTTGTTTTTGAATCTTTCTAAAACTGCACTTTGACTCTTTACTTCATTATTTTTAGGGGTCAGAATTCTAGTTTACACCTTTGTTACACAAGCAGGTGATTGCTCTACCATCTTTTTTGTATCAATTATTATGGTACTGTTTTTGTCTGTGTTGAATTTGTTTATTTCTGTTTTCTCTCTCAAACCATTATTATATCATTATTGGCTTCCTTCTGCTCTCCCTTCAGGTACCTATTGCTATTCTTTTTATTAACAAATAAATGTGAAAACGTGGTCAACTTAGCCATGTTTGTGCTTTGCATTAAGCATGTTCCTTAATCACACTCACCCTAATTACACTCACCCAGAACATCAGAAATTTCATCAAAGTTCAGGTTCACCCTGATGATTATGATTGCTTTATGAGCTTGAGTGAAGCAACTAATTACATGTTCTATTATAACTGTAAATAAATACCTTTTTGTCTACTTACTTACTTTTGTCTTAAGTACATTCTAAGATCAATGCTTCTACTTCCACTCCTGTAGAGTTTTTGATAAAGCACTACTTTTGGAAAGGTGAGAATTACAGAGTAGCCTACAGTTACACTATCATGGCAGACCAGGAGAATATTCAATTTAAGTTTGCTTTGAACCTCTTTTCCTTCATAAGCCTGTGAAAAAGTTTTATTATAGAGAAGAAATGGTCTTCACTTTCAAGAGCATCACTGAATTGCGTTTGTAGGGCATATTCAGATGGAAAAGGTTGTGATCAGAAGGCCACATTGGCCCTTTTATGGCTATTTACCCTGTCACTGAAAGTGTGGTGTTCAAAAGAGCTACTTTTCTTCTTTTACTTCTTTTTTTCAACTGAATTATCCTTACTTCTAGGTCAAGTAATATTTCTTTACTTGTACATTCCAGTAGTTTTTCAACCTTGGTGCTGTCTAATTTAGCTTCCTACTGGTGTCTTAGCTGCTATGATGTGATCCTGGTTGTAATGGAGAGTGCACCATTTACCTTTTGACTTAAATAATAAGTGGATCTAATGTTTATTATTGAAAAAGTTGCCTATAAGTATGCATCTCAATGTGGACATGATTCATCTTTAACCCACTCCCTCGAAGATCAGGCACACACAAAATGTCAGTGCAAACACACAGACAAGCACACAAAGACAGATTTATGCTTGTCTTTACAACATAGATGAACCAGATGCCATGATCTTAAATAAAGATGCACACATCAGATTAAACAGGTTATTTAGGACATGATGGACCAGAGAGTCGAGCTGTAGTCCCTTGGCTAACCATGGAGTGTTGCAGGGGCATCAGTGGTGGCTCCAGCATGCAGACGAGGACACAATTAGAAGATGAACAGGGGGGACAGATGAGGTCCTGTTTGACACACATCTGACACAGCACTTGCCCAAGCAGATGGCTCATGAATAACTGAGGGAACCGGAGGTCGGCAGGCAGAAAGAAAAAC